ATTTGCAGCAATATGGATGAACCTGAAGAATGTCATTCAAAGTGAAGTGGGCCGGAAAGGGAACAAAAAATGTCATATGACATCATTTATTTGAAGAATCTAAAAAATAATAACAATAATAATAATGACACAAAGAAATTAATTATTATTTTGATTTTTTGAATATGTGTAAGCACATTTGACTGTCCTTTATGATTGGATTACCACATTCTGTTGATTCTTATTTTGTAGTTGGCTTTATTCCTTTGATAACCATGTAAATTTAAAAAGCTAAAGATCTAATCTGCTCTTAGAAACAATAATTAGGACATATATGAAAACTAAAAAAATGTGCAGTTTACTGTTTATATATATATTTACATGCAATACAATGTGTATGTGCAGGCAAACTATAATAATTCTACATAATAAAGAAAAAGAAAATAAAGCTACAAGAATATTTTATAGGCACAATTGAATTGTGGTATAATAGTGAGTAAGGAACACATTTTTTGCAAAGAAAGGGGAAAAGTCCTACAACAATATTTTTCACCATGTGTGTTGGCTTTATTGCCACAAATTGTTACTCAGGAATGAGATTTGTTACTAATATGATATTTGTCTACTCCTAGTTCATTTAACTGTGGTTAGGTGATTCACACGGTGTAGAATACTTTTGCCTCTGTTGAAGGAACAGTGTAGGGTCATTTTCCACAGCAGAATATTATGGACAGGATACTTTTTCTTACAAGAAAATTGTTAGTATTGCTGCTGCCCATTACAACAATTTTCTCAATTTTTGATTAGGAAACTAAAGCTCAGAGGGATGAGTGTACTTGCCTAAAGTCACACAATACATAGCATAGCTCTTTTTTAAAGTCTGAAACAATCATTCACAGTAAAACATAAAGTGAACCACCGTAGTACCTCAGACTTTTAGTCCCTTTCCTCAGGGGGAAAAAAAACTGAATTAAGATTTTCTTCTTTGTCATCTCAGAAGTACTCTGTATCTATGCAGACATTTAATAAGAGAAAACTTCACACAAATATAAAGAGAAGCATGAGTAAGAATATGCAGATATTTTTAATTAAACTAGAAAAGATACTATAACACTCTTCACCAACATACTGTGTCATTTGACATTATATTGGGAGAAACACTATATCAGCATCTATAGAGCTATTCTCACAAATGCAGTATTCTTATTAAAAGCTGTTAAGTATTTCTTTCCATAAAAGTAAAATGTATATAGTATAATTCATTTATTTATTTTGCTCCATAATAATGGACATATAGAGTATCTTCCAAAGGTTTAGAGCTAGAATTTGGAGCTTGAATCCTCTGACTTGAAAACTCTAACTCTATTATACTGCACTATATCTAATTCAATTTCTACATGAACATATTAGCATTCAGTAGTGAAAGTGTTTTGCCCACAATGCAAGGTGTCATTACTCTCTGCAAATCTCTCATTCAGCCTATTATTTAAAAGAATTTTTAAAACCACCTTAGCAAAATTTTAGGCATACAAAATTACCTCTTTTAAAAACAGTATTTCTTTGCTAGCATTCTTCATTTTAAAATCAGGTGAATAGCAATGGCTTCTTAGCTGAAGAGCTTAGAGAAAGGTAAAATATGTAACATGGGCCACTGGCCACGTGTTGGCTAGCTCTTTTCTTGATGGTTTATTCAGTACCATAGAAGAATACAGAAGACTAATCCATCTTCTTGTTTATTTCCTTGTGATATTTTGCGAACATGCAGAGTGTAAGAGGGTATCTGCTTAAGCATTTCTGTTTGTAAGGTTATATCCTGAGGGACAGAAATGCTTCTATACTTAAGGATTGTCAACAATGCCTATAGCACACTTTCCAAATTGTCATGTAGGTCTTTGCCAAATATCAAACCATAGTACAATGTCATGAAAAAATGCAAATTGAACACACAGGTTCACTTTCTCTCCCCAATACTGGTTTTAGTAAATTTCTGGAAGTGGTTTGCTATTACAGATGAGGGGTCGTTTCAGTACCAGAATTATATACTGTTAAGTCATAATAGCAATATTTCATAGGGAGATTGTAGTCAAGTTATGATCCTAGCATAATCTAACACTTCTTTCTTTTCTCATCCCAAGTCTCCCCAACTTAACAGGACACTACTGCTTACTTGCTATTCAAATGGAAGGTGGATAAAAACATTCCACGGAGTAGGGGAGACACCTGCAAAGACACAAAGGTATGAAAAATCATTTTATGTTTGGTAAATAAGGAATAGTTTAGCATGGCTTATAAATAAATAATATGAAAGGAGATGAGGAGATAATATCATGGAGAGGTATACAGAAGCCAAAATAGAAAGGACCATAAATCTCATGAAATTTTGGGAACTTTTCTTTTGTGTAGCCAGTAAGATTATGTCATAAACAAAGTGGGTTTATACTGTACATTTTTCTTATTAAAAACCAGGCTTATATATATCACAGGATATCAAACTCTGATCCTTTCACTGAAGATACTTTAGATGTAGTCTTTAAAGGTTCTTTCCCTGGTTTTGGCCTGCAGATGATTCTAATAAGCCCCAAAGTTTAATATCCTGCTAAGTTTAGGACTACTTATTAGACTGCAAAAAGTATTATTCTTATAATTTTAGCTGTATATAAAGATTAACTGATACACATTGTAACAAAAGATTCAATCACAAATTTTCCACATTTCTTCCCATAAATACCCTGTTTCCAATAAAATGTTATATTATTTTATTTTATTTGTATTCCTCAATGTTGTTTGCTAAACTAGGATTCTTTTTTACCCTTTTTTATTGAGTTATAGTCAGTTTACAATATTGTGTCAATTTCTGGTGTACAGCACAATTCTTCAGTCATACACAGATATACATATATACGTTTTCATATTCTTTCTCATCATGAGCTACTACAAGATACTGAATGTTTCACTGTGCTATACAGTATAAACTTGTTTATCTATTTTATACATACCAGTCAGTATCTGCAAATCTCAAACTCCGAGTTTATCTCTTCCCACCCTCCTCCCCCTAGGCAAACACAAACCTGTGTTCTATGTCTGTGAGTCTGTTTCTGTTTTATATTTAAGTTCATTTGACTTCTTTTTCTTTTTTAGATTCCAAATATGAATGGTATTACATGGTACTTTTCCTTTCACTTTCTGGTTTACTTCACTTAGAATGACATTCTACAGAGACATCCATGTTGCTGCATATGGCATTATGTTGTCATTTTTATGGCTGAGTAGTATTCCATTGTATAAATATACCACAACTTCTTTATCCAGTCATCTGTCAATGGACATTTAGGTTGTTTCCATGTCTTGGCTATTGTAAATAGTGCTGCTATGAACATTGGGGTGCAGGTATCATTTTGTAGTAGGGTTCCTTCTGGATATATGCCCAGAAGTGAGATTGCTGGGTCATATGGTAAGTCTATTTTTAGACTTTTGATGAATTTCCACACTGTTTTCCACATGGCCTCACCAAACTGTACTCCCACCAAGAGTGTAGGAGGGTTCCTTTTTCCCACACCCTCTCCAGCATTTATCATTTGTGGACTTTTGAATAATGGCCTTTCTGACTGGTGTGAGGTAATACCCCATTGTGGGATTTTTAAAAATTTTTAATAGACTTTATTCTTTTAGAGCAGCTTCAGGTTCACAACAGAATTGAACACGAAATACAGAGTTTGCACATAGCCTTCCCCACCCACACGTATATACTCCATTACCCTCAACATCCCTCATTACTGTGGCATATTTGATACAATCGATGAACTAACATGGGCACATTATTATCAACCAAAGTCCATAGTTTACATTAGAGTTTACTTGATGTTGTACATTCTATGGATTTTGACAATTGCATAATGATATGTAGCCACTATAGTATCATACAGAAAAAAATAATTGCTCTAAAATCCTTCCCATGTGCTCCAGCTATTCATTCCTCCTTCCCTCCATCTCCCCAAACCCCTGGAAACCATGATCTTTTTAATGTTTCTGTAGATGTACCTTTTCTAGAATATCACTTGGTTGGAATCATACAGTTTGTTACCTTTTCAGAATGGCTTCTTTCATTAGTAATATGTCTTTTAAGTTTCTTCTATGTCTTTCATGGTTTGATGGATTTTTTACTGCATATATTTTTAATTTACATATATGTACTGTTCATTGTTTCTAAAAATGTTTAGAGCTTTAGCTTTTTAAACTTACATAGTTATCAAAGGAATAAAGCCAATCACAAAATAAGAATTAACTCAAAAAAATATATACACTCTTCTATTAACAGCAATATTATTTATACTTGGAAAGATATGGAAGCATCCTAAGGGCACATCAATAGTTGAATAGATAATGGAGATGCAGCATATATGTATGTAATGGAATATAACTCACACATAGAAAAGAAGGATATTTTGCCATTTGTGGCCCTTCATTCACTTTTTTTTTCAATTCAAAAGCCAGTATTTTATAACTGGCAGAGATATTTCTATTACATCAGAAACAAAATACCTAGAAATAAACATAACCAGGGAGGTTACATATACTCTGAAAATTGAAATAACACAAAGAAATTGAAAGATTTCTTGTGCTCTTGGGTTGGAAGTACCAGCACTATCAAAATGTTCACACTACTCACAGCAATCCACAGATCCAATGCAACTCCCATCAAAATACATGTGACATTCTTCACAGAACTAGAACAAATTCAAAATTTATAAGGAACCATAAAATACATCATTGTAGTTTTGATTTGCATTTCTCTAATAATTAATGATATTGAGCATATTTTTCTTGTGCCTATTGGTAATTCATATGTCTTCATTAGAGAATTATTTGTTTAATTCTTCTGCCCATTTTTGGATTGGGTTCTTTGTTTTTATCTTTTTTTTCTTATTAAGTCATATGAGCAGTTTATATATTCTGGAAATCAAGCCCTTTACAGCTTCAACTTTTGCAAATATTTTCTTTCATTACATAGGTTGTCATTTTGTTTTGCTTATGGTTTCCTTTGTCGTGCAAAAGCTTGTAAGTTTAATTAGGCCCCATTTGTCTATTTATGCTTTTATTTCTATTGCTTGGGTAGAATGCCCCAGGAGAACGTTGCTGAGATGTATATGAGATAATGTTTTGCCTATGTTTTCTTCTAGGAGGTTTATTGTATCTTGTTTTACGTTCAAGTCATTAATCAATTTTGACTTTTTTTGTGTATGATGTGAGGATGTATTCTAACTTTATTGCTTTAAAAGCTGCTGTCCAGTTTTCCCAACACCATTTGCTGAAGAGACTGTCTTTACTCCATTCTATGGTCTTGCCACTTTTGTCAAAGATTAATTGACCAAAAGTTTGTGGGTTCATTTCTGAATTCTCTATTCTGTTCTATTGATTCATATGTCTGTTTTTGTACTAATACCATGCTGCTTTGATTAATGTAGCTCTGTATTATTGTTTGCAATATGGGAGGGTTATTGCTCCAGCCTAATTCTTTTTCTTTAGTAATGCTTTGGCATTCCTGAGTCTTTTGTTATTCCATATAAATTTCATGATTTGTTCTAGTACTGTAAAATAAGTCCTGGGTAAATTGATAGGGATTGCATGAGATCTGCTAGCTGCCTTGGGAAGTATGACCAATTAAACAATATTGATTTTCTTTTTTATTATTTTAAAACTTTTTTATTGAGTTATAGTCATTTTACTATGCTGTGTCAAATTCCAGTGTAGAGCTCAATATTTCAGTTATACATGAACATACATATATTCATTGTCACATTTTGTTTTTTGCTGTGAGCTACCAAAAGATTTTGTATATATTTCCATGTGCTATACCATATAATCTTGTTTATCTATTCTTCATATGCCTGTCAGTATCTACTAATTTTGAACTCCCAACCTATCCCCTCCCACCCACCCTTGGTAACCACAAGTTTGTATTCTATGTCTATGAGTCTATTTCTGTTTTGTATTTATGTTATTTTTATTTTTTATTTTTTTAGAGTCCACATATGAGCAATTTCATATGGTATTTTTCTTTCTCTTTCTGGCTGACTTCACTTAGAATGACATTCTCCAGGGACATCCATGTTTCTGCAAATGGAATTATGTTGTCAGTTTCTATGGCTGAATAGTATTCCATTGTATAAATATACCACCACTTCTTTACTCAGTCATCCGATGATGGACATTTAGGCTGCTTCCATGCCTTGGCTATTGTAAATAGTGCTGCTATGTACATTGGGGTGTAGGTGATTTTTGAAGTAGGGTTCCTTCTGGATATAAGCCCAGGAGTGGGATTCCTTGGCCATATGGTAAGTCTATTCCTCGTCTTTTGAGGAATCTCCATACTGTTTTCCACAGTGGCTGCACCAAACTGCATTCCCACCAGCAGTTTAGGAGGGTTCCCTTTTCTCCACAGCCTCTCCAGCACTTGTCATTTGTGGGTTTTGGAATGATGGCCATTCTGACTGGTGTGAGGTGATACCTCATTGTAGTTTTGATTTGCATTTCTCTGATAATTAGTGATACTGAGCATTTTTTCATGTGCCTATTGATCATTTGTGTTTCTTCCTTGTAGAATTGCTTACTTAGGTCTTCTGCCCATTTTTGGATTGGGTTTTTTTTTTTCTTATCAAGTCATATGAGTTGCTTATATATTCTGGAGAACAAGCCTTTGTCGGTTTCATTTGCAAAAAATTTTCTCCCATTACATAGGTTGTCGTTTTGTTTTACTTATTGTTTCCTTTGCCCTGTAGAGGTTTGTAAGTTTCATTAAGTCCCATTTGTTTATTGTTGCTTTTATTTCTATTGCTTGAGTAGACTGTTTTAGAAGAACATTTTTGAGATGTATGTCAGATAATGTTTTGCCTCTATTTCCCTCTAGGAGGTTTATTGTATCTTGGCTTATGTTTAAGTCTTTGATCCATTTTGAGTTGATTTTTGTATATGGTGTAAGGAAGTGTTCTAGCTTCATTGCTTTACATGCTGCTGTCCAGTTTTCCCAACACCATTTGCTGAAGGGACTGGCTTTATTCCATTATGTATTCTTGCCTTCTTTGTCAAAGATTAGTTGATCAAAAGTTTGTGGGTTCATTTCTGGGCTCTCTATTCTGTCCCATTGGTCCATATGTCTGTTTTTGTACCAATACCATGCTGTCTTGATTACTGTAGCTCTGTACTATTGTCTGAAGTCTGGGAAAGTTATTCTTCCAGCCTTTCTTTTTCTTCAGTAATGCTTTGTCAATTCTAGTTCTTTGGTGGTTCCATATAAATTGTATTATGATTTGTTCTAGTTCTGTGAAATCTATCCTGGGTAATTTGATAGAGACTGTATTAAATCTATAGATTGCCTTAGGCAGTGTGACCATTTTAACAATATTGATTCTTCCAATCCAGGAGCATGGGATAGCTTTTCATTTTTTAAAGTTTTCTTTATTTACTGTAATCAGTGTTTTGTAGTTCTCCATGTAAAATTTTTTCACCTCTTTGGTTAGATTTAATCCTAGGTATTTTACCACTTTGGTTGCTGTTTCAAAAGTGACTGTTTCTTTACTTTCTTTTCCTGTTCATTCATCGTTAGTGTAAAGAAATGCAACTGATTTTTGTTCATTCATCTTGTATTCTGCCACCTTGCTGAATTCTTTTATTAGTTCTAGAATTTTTTGTGTGGAGTTATTAGGGTTTTCTATATATAGTATCATGTCATCTGCATACAGTGACAATTTTACCTCCTCTCTTCAAATTTGAATCCCTTTTATTTCTTTTTGTTGCCTGATTGCTGTGGCTAGGAATTCCAAGTCTATGTTGAATAGGAGTGGTGAGAGTGGAAGACCTTGGTTTGTCCCAAATTTTAGTGGGAGGTTTTTCAGTTTTTCACACTGAGTACTATGCTGGCTGTAGGTTTGTTATAAACAGCTTTTATTATGTTCAGATATGTTCTTTTATACACACTTTGGTGAGGTTTTTTAATCATAAGTAAGTTGTGAATTTTATGAAATGCTTTTTCTGCATCTATTGAGATGATCATGTGGTTTCTGTCCTTTATCTTGTTGATGTGGTGTATTACACTGATTTATTTTTGTATATTGAATAATTCTTATGTTCTTGGGATAAATCCAACTTGATCATGGTGTATGATCTTTTTTATGTGCTGTTGTATCCTATTTACTAATATTTTGTCAAGGATTTTTGCATCTATATTCATCAATGATATTGGTTTATAATCTTTTTTTTTTTTGGTAAGTGTCTTTGCCTGGTTTTGGTATCAGGGTGATGTTGGTTTCATAGAATGAGTTTCAGAGTACTCCCTCCTTTTCAGTCTTTTTGGAAGAGTTTGAGAAGGACCAGTATGAATTCTTCTTTGTATGTTTTGTAGAATTCCCCAGTGAACTCATTTGATCCTGGACTTTTGTTTCTGGAGAGGTTTATTATTGCTCTGTCAATTTCATTTCTGGTGATCAGTTTCTTCAAGTGGTCAAATTCTTCATTATTTAGTCTTAGTGGACTATATGTTTCCAGAAACTTGTCCATTTCTTCTAGGTTATCCATTTTGTTTCCATGTATCTGTTCATAGTACTCTTGTATGATATTTTTTATTTCTGTGGTTTGGTTGTAAATTCTCCATTTTCCTTTCCTATTTTGTTTGTGCTCTCTCTTCTCTTCCTAATGATCTTGGGCAGAGGTCTGTCAGTTTTGTTTACTCTTTCAAAAAACCAGCTCTTTGATCGATTTTTCCTATTGTTTTTTAATCTCTGTTTTATTTATTTCCTTTATTATTTCCTTCCTTCTAGTGCTTTTTTTTGTCATTGTTCTTCTTTTTCTAATTATATTTCCTGGTAATTTAGATTGTTTATTTGAGATTGGTATTCTCATTTGAGGAAGGCCTGCATCGCTATAAACTTCCCTCTTAGCACTGCCTTTACTGCGTCCCATAGATTCTGTGTGGTTGTGCCTTCATTGTTATTTGTCTCAAAATATTTTTTAATTTCATCTTTGACTTCATCATTAATTCATTGTTTTTTTTAGTAGCATGTTGTTTAATCTCAATTTTGTCATTTTTTTCTCCTCTTTTTATCTGTAGTTGATTTCTAGTTTCATGTCATTGTGGTCAGAAAAGATGCTTGAAATAATTTCTATCTTCTTAAAATTGTTAACATTTCTTTTGTGCCCGAGTAAATGATCTATCCCAGGAAATATTCCATGTATACTTGAAAAGAATATACATTGTATTTTGGGGGGATTAATGTTCTGAAAATATCAACCAAGTCTATTTGTTTTATTGTATCATTTAATTTCATGTTGTGTTATGAATTTTCTTTCTGGGAGCTCTGTCTATTGATGTTAATGTGGTGTTAAAATCTCCTACAATGATTATATTTCAATCAATTTCTCCCTTTAAATCTGTTAGTATTTGCTTTATGTATTTAGGTGTTCCTATTTTGGGTACATATATGTTAATGAATGTAATATTCTCATCTTGTATTACTCCTTTAATCATTATAAAATGTACTTATTTATCTTTCTTTATTACTTCTGTTTTAAAGTCGATTTTGTCTGAAATCAGTATTGCTACTCCTACTTTCTTGTCATTTTCATTTGTGTGGAATATCTTTTCTATCCTCTCACTCTCAATCTGTATGTATCATTTTCTCTAATGTGGGTCTCTTGTATGCAGCATATTGTGGGTTATTGTTTTATTATCCAGTTTGCCACTGTATGTCTTTTGATTGGGGCATTTAGTCAATTGACATTTACAGTAATTATTGATAGATTTGTGTTTATTGCCATTTTGAACTTAGTTTTCCAGTTGATTTGGTATTTCCTCATTGTTCCTTTTTGTGTGTGTGGTTTGATAAATTTTCTTTATATTATTTTGGTTTCTTTTTAGTTTTTGTGAGTCTATTGCAAGTTTTTGGTTTGTGGTTATCCTGTTTTGTATGTATATCAATCCATTACTATATCTGTTTTTTTTAAACAGATAGTAATGTAATCTCAAACCCATCCTAGTGAGAACAAAAAGAGAAAAGAAAAAGGAACTTATATTTTTTTGCTCCCCCTCTCCCATACTTGATTATTTAGTTGTCCTCTTTTACAGTTTCATGTTTGTTCTGTTGTAATTTCTTTTAGTTATCATCTTTCCAATTAT